GAAAGTGAAATCAAGAAAACACTCCCATTTACCACTGCAACAAAAAGAATAAAATATCTAGGAATAAACCTACCAAAGGAGACAAAGACCTGTATGCAGAAAATTATAAGACACTGATGAAAGAAATTAAAGATGATACAAATAGATGGGGAGATATACCATGTTCTTGGATTGGAAGAATCAAAATTGTGAAAATGACTCTACTACCCAAAGCAATCTACAGATTCAGTGCAATCCCTATCAAACTACCACTGGCATTTTTCACAGGAAAACTACAAAAAATTTCACAATTTGTATCAAAACATATAAGACCCCGAATAGCCAAAGCAATCTTTAGAACGAAAAATGGAGCTGGAGGAATCAGGCTCCCTGACTTCAGACTATACTACAAAGCTACAGTAATCAAGACTGTATGGTACTGACACAAAAACAGAAAGATAGATCAGTGGAACAGGATAGAAAGCCCAGAGATATACCCACATACATATGGTCACCTTATCTTTTATCAAGGAGGCAGGAATGTACAGTGGAGAAAGGACAGCCTCTTCAATAAATGGTCCTGGGAAAACTGGACAGGTAGATGTAAAAGTATGAGATTAGAACACTCCCTAACACCATCCCCCAAAATAAGCTTAAAATGGATTAAAGACTTAAATGTAAGGCCAGAAAATATCAAACTCTTAGAGGAAAACATAGGCAGAACACTCTGACATAAATCACAGCAAGATCCTTTTTAACCCACTTCCTACAGAAATGGAAATAAAAATAAATAAATGGGACCTAATGAAACCTCAAAGCTTTTGCACAGCAAAGGAAACCGTAAACAAGACCAAAAGACAACCGTCAGAATGGGAGAAAATATTTGCAAATGAGGCAACTGACAAAGGATTAATCTCCAAAATTTCAAGCTGCACACGCAGCTCAATAAAAAAAAAAAAAAAAACCCAATCCAAAAATGGGCAGAAGACCTAAATAGACATTTCTCCAAAGAAGATATACAGATTGCCAACAAACACATGAAAGGATGCTCAATATCACTAATCATTAGAGAAATGCAAATGAAAACTACAATGAGATATCATCTCACACCAGTCAGAATGGCCAACATCAAAAAATCTAGAAACAATAAATGCTGGAGAGTGTGTGGAGAAAAGGGAACACTCTTGCACTGCTGGTGGGAATGTGAATTGGTACAGCCACTATGGAGAACAGTATGGAGTTTCCTTAAAAAACTACAAATAGAACTACCCTATGACCCAGCAATCCCACTACTGGGCATATACCCTGAGAAAACCATAATTCAGAAAGAGTCATGTACCAAAATCTTCATTGCAGCTCTATTTACAATAGCCCAGAGTTGGAAACAACCTAAGTGTCCATCATCAGATGAATGGATAAAGAAGATGTGACACATATATACAATGGAATATTACTCAGCCATAAAAAGAAACGAAATTGAGTTATTTGTAGTGATTTGGATGGACCTAGAGTGTGTCATACAGAATGAAGTAAGTCAGATAGAGAAAGACAAATACCGTATGCTAACACATATGTATGAAATCTAAGAAAAAAGAAAAAAGTCATGAAGAACCTAGGGGTAAGACAGGAATAGAGACACAGACCTACTATAGAATGGACTTGCGGATATGGGGAGGGGGAAGGGTAAGCTGTGACAAAGTGAGAGAGTGGCATGGACATATATACACTACCAAACGTAAAATAGATAGCTAGTGGGAAGCAGCCACATAGCACAGGGAAATCAACTCAGTGCTTTGTGACCACCTAGAGGGTTGGGATAGGGAGGGTGGGAGGGAGGGAGAAGCAAGAGGGAAGAGATATGGAAACATATGTATATGTATAACTGATTCACTTTGTTTAAAAGAAGAAACTAACACACCATTGTAAAGCAATTATACTGCAATAAAGATGCAAAAAAAAAAAATCAATCAATATAATACATCATGATAACAGACCAGAAAAAAGAAAAAAGAACACGTGAACTCCTAAGTCACTGAATACTAAAGACTGCAGGAAGCATCCAGGAGAGCTGTGGATGTCAACAGTACAATGTGAGGGCAAATTTTGCCTCTTCTCTTAAGAACTTAAAAAGTCCACAAGAAGGAGGCAACACATTGAATGGGGTGGCCGTGGACAAGTTACTTAATTTGGTTGCCCTTTAGTTTTCTCCTCTCTAAAAGGAGGCTAGTAATAGAACCTACCTTGTGTCGTGAGAATTAAATGAGTCAATTCATCCAAAGCCCCTAATGTCAACTGCTATTTTAGGCCTGTTTTAACTGTTAATATTTGCTAAATTTCTCTTTGAGCTCAGGGACCCTATATTGAAAATCCTCTTTGGAATTTTAAAGGAAAATGTGTTAAGAACAGAAATTACAACTAGTGCTTGAAATTAATGAATTATTTTAAAGACTCATTATTTGTGTTTCTATTTAGTCAGACCCATTTGTTTTTAGAGGGGTTTTAATTGAAATTTTAATTAAAATGGGAGTTCACTTGACTTATAAAATGGTGTTTATTATTCTCATCATAATGAATACTTTCTATTTTTATTATTTAACTTGACTTTGAAGATTATCTTCAACAATAAATTCACATCAATTTTGTCTTACTAGGTATTAACATGTGATATCTGTTGAGATGACTGTAACTGAGCTACTTTAAAATTGGTGTTGGAAAAAACAAACAAACAGCAACAGAAACTCTTTATCTTCTTATCTATATCATAAGCCAGAGGCAAAATTTAAGTTGCTGTTTGTGTAAGTTAATATGGAATACATAGGACCACAGATTATTAAAATTCATCAAAACAATTATCTAACAACTCTACTCTCTTTATTATTTCATGTTAGTTTTAAATATACTTCTTTTAAAAAAATTGATGGTTTTCAGCCCTTGTCATTTTTGGTTTTTTTCTGACTAATAATTATGGATTTTTCTTATTTTTACCAAATATAAGAGGATCTGGTAGAACTGTTTTGAACCAGTCTTTGTAGAAACTGGTTAAAAATGTACTCTCCCTTTTGGGTAAAAGCAGCCTTTATCTCTGCTGTTCCAGTATTGCCATTGTTTTCCTTGTAGGCAAATTCAGAATGCCTTCTTCTTAATTCAGATTTCTTAGCCATAAAACTTCTTGAAATGATAAATACCCAACATTTCTAGAGAGGTCTGGCATCTGTACTCACCATGTCACACACTGTGTGACAGCTCAGATGTCACAAGGACAGTTTTATCAGGAAAACACAACAGGTGTTTTGCTACATCTTGATACTAACAATGAGGAGATAAAACACATATACTTTTTTCAATGTGTGTAAATCAGATTTTGAATTGGATACCCTCATTTGAAATTGTCATAGGAAAACCTGGAAGATACTTAGTATTGTCCACAGATTTGACTAAGAGAGAATTTTGTACTTTCTTTTTCAATCTTGTGATCTCCCTGATTTGCTTTCAAGATTTCCCCCACTAATTCATCAGTCTCTTATATAGCTTCTTATTTCAGCTAAATATAATTTGTTTTCTGTGTTCAACCAAAACATAGCCACTATTGCTTCCTTCCTTTTTCCATACATTTCTTCTTCGACACAAATTGTTTCCCCACACTTTTCAAGTTTGAACTTCTAGGCTTCTAGTCTCTGTCAAAATACTACTAAACTCTTACCATCTCTGGGGATTTTCTTCTATTTGATAGCTGAATATTTATTCCTTTACTTGCTGTTTTTAACAAATTTTATATTCATACCTTCAGTTGAATTGAAAATTCCTTGAATGATTCACTTTTCTACTATTTCTTGTAAGTCATCCTGGTGGTCCACACATCTGTACATAAAAATATTCTTCTCATACTATGCATTCAGTAAGGATACTGATAAAATTAAGCATATCAGAATAAGAAGACTTTTAAGTTATATACCACTGTTTATGATATTTTATGTATTTGAGATTATTGCTCTGCACATTCTTTTAATATTTCCATCTGCCCTCTGTTATTATCTTCCCTGTATAAACAGTAAGCTCCTTTATTGTGGAGAATAGCTCTCCTTTTTCTTTCGTATAAACCCCATTATATCATGTACATTTTTTGAGACATAGCATATTAGCAATGGCCTTTTCAGCTCAGTTACTCTGTATGTTACATTATCAAGATTTTCTAAAATAAGATTTAAAATTATATATGAAACTGCAAGATACCTGTTGCCTCTAAACTCCAGGAGACAGATTTGAAGTTCCACAAAGTACTATAAAGTAATTACAAACTTCAATCCCCTAGCAGTTGTATTCTACATAGAAAGGTCTTAATTGGCATTCTGATTGGCATGGTTTGTAAGTACTGAATTTACTGTATATACTGAGTGAAGTGAAGGATGCCCTTAGTGGATGAAGCTGCTGCCACAAATCTTGTCTGTTTCCAAACCCTGGCACCTAAATTACACTTACACTTAAGCCACAGAGATGAAATACATGCATTAGCACAGATGATCTTGCATCATGACATGCAAGGACCATAAGGAATTGTAGCAAATTATGCTGTCCTTATCCTCATTCTGGCCGGGAGGAAACTGAGGTCCAAGTTCATGTGGAATAGACAGCTTGGTAGAGGCCAGGTCTCTCAACTTTTCCTCCAATGCCAGCTTGCCTGCACCCTGCCAGGATGCTGTATATGGAATATAATGTCATATTTTACTCCATAAAATCTTAGTAGGCAGAGATGAAAAATGCACACCAGGCTTTTCTTTGTACTTCTTGAAATTATGGATGGATTGAAAGCCAGGACTTGTGTTGCTTTGTTATTTAACATATGAATATGGGAGTGGGGAGACATGTACTGCAAGTATATAATGACTGAAGATGTTCTAAATTATGGTAGTTAAGGAAAATAAACAAAAATACTCTTTTGTCAACATTAAATGAAACTTTTCTTAATAGAGCTAAATATTGTCAGCACAATTAAAATTTGCCTATTTTGATTTTTTTTTTCCTAGCTACATGTGGTCATTTGAAAAAGCACACCTGAGCATGGTTCAGATAATCACAGGACAACTTGTTGAGTCCTTTGATGAAGAATTTAGGACTCTCTATGCCAGGTCCTGTGTCCCCAGCTCATTAGAATGGGAAGAGTCAGCAAGGGTGAAGCACAGCAAAGCACTCTGGGAGAATGGCACTTACCAGCGTTCAGTGTCTTCCTTAGCTTCCATTTCCAGCCAAAGAAACCTTTTTGGTACACAAGACAAAATTCATAAACTAGATTCTAGCTACTTCAAAAACAGAGGGATATATACTCTCAATGAACGTGACAGATATAACATAAGAAATCATATATACAAACCTCATTTTGTTCCCAACTTTAATGGTCCAATCCGTCAGCATCAACACAGTCAGATAAATGAAAATTGGAAGAGGCATAGTTATGCTGGGGAACAGCCAGAAACAGCACCATACCTGCTGCTTAACAGGGCTCTGAATCGAACCGTTAATGCTCCCTGTAATTGGAAAAGGCCTTCAGATAGTCTCAGTGTGGCATCCTCATCACAGGGAGGCTATGCAGGCCACCAGAACACACCTGCCCAGAGTTTTGCTGACCGACTTGCCCAGAGGAAGACGACAGACCTTCCAGAAAGGAATTCCAATGTGCGGAGATCTTTTAACGGGACAGATAATCATATTCGCTTTTTGCAACAACACATGCCAACCCTTGAACATACCACCAAGTCATTCTTGCGTAACTGGAGAATTGAATCCTACTTAAATGATCATTCAGAAGCTTCCCGTGATTCCAATGGATCGGTTCTAGGTGACCGGTTTGAGGGGTACGACGGTCCTGAGAATTTGAAAGCCAATACCTTTTATACTCACTCTCGGCTTCGTTCTTCTTTTGTGTTTAAACCCACTTTACCTAAGCAACAGGAAGTTAACAGTTGTACAACTGACTCCTCAAATTCAACAGTCATTGGTTCCCAGGGAAGTGACACGCCTAAAAAGATCCCAGACACCCCAACAGGCGCACAGCATCCAACAGACAAACCCTCACAGGAATCAACCCCCAAGCTCCCGTTGCAGTCAGAGGCACCAAAAACGCACACCCTACAGGTTCCCGAAAGCCACCTGGCAGTTTTAATCCCAACTACAAATGGCCCTATGGACTCAAACAACCATTTATATACAACCTTGTCTGTAAATAAGCAAACAGAAAACCTAAAGAATCAACAAAATAAGAATCTGCTTAAAAGGCGAAGTTTCCCATTCACTGACCACTCAAAAGCCAATTTAAATCATGGAAATAGTAAGCATTATGTGTATAGTACATTTACCAGGAATCCAATTAGACAACCAGAAAAACCTAAAGAGGATTTGTTAAAAAGTTCTAAAAGTGTTCATAATGTGACCCATGCCATGGAAGAGGATGAGGAAGAGGTTACCAAGAGAGACCCTCCGAGTAGCACTGTTATCAAGTCAATTTCCATCGCTGCTTTGCTTGATGTGAATAAAGAAGAACCCAACAAAGAACTCACTTCCAAGAAAGAAGTGAAGGGTTCCCCAAGTTTTTTGAAAAAGGGATCTCTGAAGTTAAGGTCATTACTTAGCCTTACCCCAGAAAAGAAAGAAAATCTATCCAAAAATAAAGCACCTGCCTTTTATAGAATGTGTAGTAGTTCTGACACTTTAGTTTCTGAGGCTGAAGAGAATCAAAAACAAAAAAAATCAGAACCCAAAATTGATTCGTCTCCTAGAAGAAAACATTCCTCTTCATCCAGCTCTCCAGGCAGCATCCACAAGGATAAGGAAGATGTAGCAGTTCGTTCATCTCAGGGGATACATTCTTCATCTGATGAAAGTAACAAAACTATACCTTCTTCAAGTCCAGTTGAAAGCAAGTTCTTGGAAAGAGCAGGAGATGCCTCTGCCCCGAGATTCAACACTGAGCAGATCCAGTACCAAGATTCAAAGGAGATTAAAGCAATTGTTGTTCCTGAAAGAAAACCAGCTTCTTCTCTAAGACCAAAGCCCAATGATGAGCTTATAAGAACTCATTCAATTGACCGGCGTGTTTACAGTCGTTTTGAACCATTTTGTAGTATTGAAAGCTCTATTCAGCCAACAAGCAACATGCCAAATACCAGTACACACCACCCAGAAATGAAATCCTCAGCTATGGGCAATAGTTATGGCAGGTCCAGCCCAATGCTTAATTACAACACTGGTGTTTACCACTCATATCAGCCAAATGAAAACAAGTTTCGAGGATTTATACAGAAGTTTGGAAACTTCATAAACAAAAATAAATGAAATACTGTAACTACAAATAGACTTTAAAATACAGAATAAATGTGGCTATAAATATTTGTCCAAAGAACATTGTAGATTTTTTTTTGTAATATCCTAATAGATTTCTATGGGGGTGGAATTTTCCGTGTGAAGTATGTTTACCAACTTACTAATGTATAGTAAAGTTATTGTTCTGTGTGATAAATATAGTTGTGCTTAATTACACTATAGATGGAATATCTATAAATACATGATTTTTAAATGGTAATGGTAAGACAAATGTAATGAAATTGTTTTCTTCAGACTGAAGATCTTCTTAAGTCTTAAATGGAAACTTTGGTGGAGAGATGGTATATGGATTTTAACCATTCATTGCAAATGCTTTCCTTATTAAAACGGATCATGGATCATAACGCTGTCAACGGTCCTTTATAGTACATCTTTGTGGGGTTTTCATCTCTTCAAATTACGAGAAAACAGGACAAAGCCTTTGTGGTTTTTAATTACCTTTAAATTCTATGAGATAACTTGTATTTTATTAATGTTTTATTAATTTTTCTGTGGAACTGGTTGGGCAGCAACAGTACAATTTAAACCATATAGCACAGCACAGTTTTTATTTTATCTGAGGTGTTTGCAAAGTATCAGCCTCAGGTAGTTCAAGTACACCACAGAAATTTATTTTCAGGATGTGCTTATTTCCACTCTGAACAAAGGGAGCCTGTACTGCACTCCACCCATCAGCTGCTGAACTTTTATTGTCATTCTTTCCTTCAACCTTATAGTAAGCCAACAGGAATTTGTAAAACCTGAATTATTCCTCTCTTTTTTCTAATACAAAGAAGCTTTTAGAAATGTAAACTTCTACATAAATTTTTAACTTGGATTAGTAAGACAGTGCTTAGGTGTTTTGCTTGCAAAAGTCTTTGCTCTTCTTTATACTGTGCCAAATACACTCTGACAGCATAGTGTTTTCTTGAGAGAACCCTGATGAAAATGAGAAGTGCTATCTGGCTTGTTTCTTCCATGACCTTGGGGCCTCATTGAAAGTTTTAAATCTTTCTATATCTTAATTTGATGATGATAGGCAGTTCATAAGATACACTTTGCCTTTCTTAGAGTAATGAAATAAAAGCTCCATATCCATTACAGAGACTTTAACTTGGCTTTACTTCATCCACAAAGAACAGAATTCAAGAAACAATGAATCATTTGAGAAGTGGAAAGTGTTTCTATGAAACTTTTTTTTTTTAGTTTCCCGACCAGGGATTGAACCTATGTCCCCTGCAGTGGAGTCTTAACCACTGGACCACCAAGGAAATCCCCTATGACACTTTAAATATATTGTTTAACACCTTCTAAGTTGCTATATGAGACAGCATGTTGTTTTCAAAATTCAAGATTCAGTCAAATATTAATATCTATGTCATTACTAAGTAATTAAAATAACGATATTGAAATATCTATGTCATTAAAATAATTTTCCACAGTATTTTAAAACCATGATAAGAAACATGTCAGGAAAATACACGACAGCAGCAGAAAAAAACCTAACATTCATAGACCAGGTCCTGAGCTAGAATCTAAAGTCCCCGCGGCACTATTTTGCATCTACCATTGTCCTCATTATTTACAGGTGATAATTGCGACACTGAGACTCAGAGAGACAACGCCCCAAACCACATGACCAGTGAGTCATGGTACTAAAGTGTCTATAACACTCTGTCACATCCTATTACCTCCCCAATGTGTTCAACACCTGCCTCACTCAAACTGTTGAAAATTAAATGAGAGAACGTTTATATTTCCTGGCTCAACAACGATCAACTAGGAAAGGTTTCATTGTCTTTCTCTTTTGCTCTCTCTTTAAGAGTTGCAGAAATATACAACTAACTGTACAGCAATAGCATTTTATATACACAAATCCAGAATATATTACTCAATTTCACATCATTCATAAAAGTAGATTTTAAAACTCCTGCTGTAACATAGGGAATTTCCAAGTACTACGATGCGGGATTTGCTTGTTTTGGAAAGCTGAGTGTAAAAGATTGGAAAATTTGCACACTTCCTAGTAATCTAACAGCATAAATATAAACATTAAGAGTGAACAGTCATTTTTCACAGGAAAAGTAGCCAAGTATATTTACAAAAAAAAAATGAATGTTTTAAGAAAATGGCCTTTGGAATGTGTAGTTCCTTATAATCAAATAAGGAATTCAGTCACAGTAAGAAAAGTGTTTCTAACTGTTAGCGTTTTAAATTTTAGAGTCATCTGGCAATTGTATGATCTTCACAGATTAGTATCAGATTATTAAAAAGCATTAGAATTGAGGTTTAATGTGTGAGAGACATATTTCATTTTGCTCTTAGAAAAATTCACTTCTGTGATTCTGGACCATAGTCATTTACTGATTTATCAAAGGAGAATCTGGAGTTAACCAAACCAGACTGATTTTAATATTACCTATTCTTTGTTATAGTGAGATAGGGCATCTTTCAGAGTGAAGGGGCTAATGGGCTGTCGTTAGGCAGCTCTGAAATTGGAAGTCCTGAAATTTACAGCAATGCAACTGAAACTGCATAAAGCTGAAATTACATAAAGACTATAGAGTTTTAATCATTTTAATTATATGCAAAAGCCTGTTGCCTTTTGGTACAGCAGCTGCTATCATTTCTGGAAACACAGATAGCTTTTAAGTAGTTCCTGAGTTCCTCCTCTTCCTGGTAGGGTTGGAAGCCCAGAGTTTCTTTCCATCCACCTGTGACGGGTAGATTGGGCTTTTTCATGGCAGATTTATTCCCCTCTGCCTCTTTTCTTTTTTTCATTCTATTTTTTTTCCTCCAGAAATATCTAGATGTCAGCATCTATACACAGTAACTTTCCAAAGTTTCTGAGGCTGAGAAACTCCACAGGGTTAAGACTGAGCAAGCATACAGATAATTTACTCAGGGTTTTGAATTTTCAACAGACACACCCAAGCTTCATGGATGTAATCATTTCAAGCAATACATTTTCTTTTTCTCCCCATGTTAATTTTGGTGGAAAGATAATGTCACTTAGATGCAATTTTTTATTAAAGTTTGGTGAGGCAATTTTTACTCTCTACATAGGACATTAGTTTGTAAGCAGAAACTCAGAAAATTAGGTACGATTTCAAAGTAGCTCTTGACAGTTTCAGAATAGTTTAAGTACCTGTATCCTGAACACACTGCTATCCCTCTGTTTCAGGGATTGGGATTGGCTACAATTCTGATGCAATGTGTTGAGGTCCGGGTATATGGTGGCCATCTACATTTGTGGAAACAAATATCTTATTTAATCTAGATGGCATCTAGTGTGACCCAGATAAGGTTGAACTATGGCTGCACTCAACTATAACTTTACTCAAGATTTTCCAATTATTCAACTACTATCCCACAGATATTTGTCTTTTGTGGATATCTGTTGATTATTAATGTGCCTATGGCTAAGAGGTATAAATTAGAATCATTGTTTTACATAATGTGTGACCTATGTGTGATGCTGTTTTTTTTTTAAAAAAAAAGTTTCTCATAAGATTCATTTGGTTCTAGAATATTTAAAAAGAAAAAGATGAAATTATAAACCAGAGAGTCAACTTTTTATATACGTGCAATGTTAGCAAATATTCTTCCAAATTAACTTTTGTTATTAGATTGAATAAGTGAATATTAAATAATTTTGTACAAAATCTATGCATTAAGTTATTTTTTTATCTTCATACCCTGGATTTCGCCACTGACACTGATGTTTTTCACTTAGTTATTATATAATGAATTTAGATTTTTACACATTTTAAAATATTTCTCCATACATTTTGAAATAATCTCTTAAATGCTTAACTTTTTTGGATTAACAATTACATTTCATTTAATAATTTATCCACATTTGATATCCAGTGACAGTATTCTTCCCTTAACAGTATCACATACACTCATTCTCTTTCTATTTCTACTGGAATATAGTAGTTATTTTAAATAACTTGTGACTTTGAAAAATAGAGACTATTTTGTTAAAATATTGATAGCTGATTTTTGTAGAATTTTGTAGTGTTTCGTTTGAGTAAAATATTCTGAAGGTGCATTTGTGTTTTACATCAGTTAGTGACATTATACAACCTGGAATCTGAAAGTTTCTTATAACTCAAAATGCATTTTTCTTAGGGAAAAAAATGTCCCTTATATCACAGATTAAGATGTCATTGAATTAAATATTGGCCTTTTAAAGGCAAATGTGATTTTTAAGTAGGTAACAAAAATTTTAAATCGTTAAGTAAAAACAAACTTTGACTTTTTTTACATTCACCATAAATGTCGATGTTTAAGAAAATTCTGGTTCAATGGGATAGTATGGGACATAGATGAGGTTTTACTTTTGTGGCCATCCTAAAGGAAATTTATGAATAGGCTCAGTTGATCTGAGGAGCCATAGACCATCCTGAGGTAATTGAACTAGAAAAAAATAGAACAGCCTTAAAAGAAGTAAGTTTGTATCCTGACTGACGAAACGAATTACCTGAGGTAGGATTACCTGAGCTGAAAGCATTAAAAACAGAAAAAAGAAATATAAAGAGGAATACTCTTGAGTTAACAAAGAAAAGTATAACACATCTGATTGGACACTTCTCCCATAACTGTTTCAATAATCTAGCTCATTTATTTATTCACCTCTCATACTGGGAACCTACTTTGTTCAAGGTGTGCAGGTTACAGTAGACTTTATTATTTATTTATTTTTGGGGTACGCGGGCCTCTCACTATTGTGGCCTCTCCCGTTGCAGAGCACAGGCTCCAGACGCGAAGGCTCAGCGGCCATGGCTCACGGGCCCAGCCGCTCCCTCTCTCTCGCCCTAACACACCTCACCCTTCCCCCTCCCCATATCCTCAAGTCTGTTCTCCAGTAGGTCTCTGTCTTTATTCCTGTTTTACCCCTAGGTTCTTCATAACATTTTTTTTTCTTAAATTCCATATATATGTGTTAGCATACGGTATTTGTCTTTCTCTTTCTGACTTACTTCACTCTGTATGACAGACTCTAGGTCCATCCACCTCACTATAAATAACTCCATTTCATTT